TATATATATATATATATATATATATGAAAAAGCAAGGCATACAGTTTGGAATTTGAAGTATTTATTAAAATATTTTAAATGCATACATTGAAGCATTTTTGCTATTTTACATATTCTACATTTTTCAAATACTACTAACTTACGTCAATATAGTATTTTATGGTTTTCCGAGTACTGATATATACATGATGGTATTTAATTCTCTCAGAAAACCTTCCATGAAGACATTGTCTACATTTTGAAGGCAAGGCATCTGAATCTTGGAAAGGATAAATGACTTGTCAAAAGTCACATAAGTACTAAATGGCAGAGATGGAAATCCACATCCTTGGGTTCTGAGTCTAATGTTCTTTCTAATGAACTATCAGTTTATTTATTGGCTTTCTATTAAACTGTTTTTTAATGTGTTTATTGGCTAATGTCATTATAAGAAGCAATAAAATCTATTATCCTTAGCCCTCCCCTTGGGATTTTATAAGTAATAAAACGTACTCTTTACTGTAGAAAGAAAAAAAAATCCTTATATTAAGAAATGAGAATAGATTTTTAAATTTTTTATTTATTAAATTTTTCAGTGGCTGGCCTGTAAGGGGATCTGAACACTTGACCTTGGTGTTATCAGCACCATGCTCTCCCTAGTGAGCTGGCTGGCCAGCCCAAGAATAGATTATTATTATTTTTTTTTTTTTACATCCATACAAATCTTGCATATTCCCTTAGAACTATTGTATATTGTGTACAGAATTACCTTTTTATTCATTTGGTGCAGGTGGAGATTTGGGTAGAGGATCACTAACACACTTTACTTCACTCTGTAGAAGTAGGAAAGATGACCTGGGAAGGCATCCCAAGAGGGAGCAGAATGGAACGGGCTTTGGAATTAAACCAACCTGGATCTTAATCCCAGCACTCCAATATTTCTAATTGTATATTCTTAGGGAACTCAGTGTCTGAATCTCAGTTTCCTCACCTGATAAATGGTTTAATAAATCTTACCTCACAGTATTATCATGAGGATTGGGTAAATAATACATGAAAACATGTGAACATGGAAGCAACATATGTGTTAGTTCTTGTGTTAACTCACCCATACATCAAAAAGACACCACTTCAGCTTCGCGCCGCTAGTTTAAACTTCTCTTTCACGTTTTTGTTTAGTGTTTTTTTGGAGGAACAGTGAAAAGTTAATCTTGGGATGGAGTGCCTCAGCAATAACCCTCAATTCTTGCTGAAATCTTTATTGTACAACCACATGCGTGCTTTGGTTTACTCATGAGTTGAAGAATTTAGGCTACACAATCTTTTTTATTCTCACTTTTGTAGTTCCTCAATCCATGCACATTTTGCAATATTTATGATTACACATTTATCTACCAGTGTGAAACAAGTTATTGGAGTGATTTCATTTTAGAAAAGAAACAGCTCACTCACCACCACCATTTTCCCATCCACCACCTTTCTCTTTATGGTGGTTTCTTTGCCGTCCCAGTTCTGAACTTGAATCAAGGAGTCGTTATCAGAGGTTACCATAATCTAAAAACAGACAAAACCAAATTCAGATCAGCTTGTCACATCTGAACACTCAAATTTTATCAGGTCCCAAATTCTTTTTAGCTGTTGTGATGCTCACAGGTAGTTTTAGAACAGTGTTTACAATTCCATGTAAGAGTTTGTCAACAGTAAATTTGTTGGCTGACTCTGCTGGGGAACAAAGTCTTTATAAGAGTAAAAAGGTAATATTATCTTGAGAAGTAAGTGAAATTTTCCT